TCATCCATGGTTTTCCATGGGCTCTTAGTTACTTTCTAGATCACTTGCTTTTTGTTTTGAAATTGTGCTTTGTGTGGTTTTGAAAGTATTTTGTAAAAGAGACCATTGTTTAGGCAATCTTTATAATGATTCTCGTTCGTAAGAATGTATACAAAGATGTTTGTTTTTTTGAAAATGTTTCCAATGTTTGTAAGATGTGTGTGTTTGTTTTGAAAATAGCAAGGATAGTTGTTTGAAATGGAGCAAGTAACTAGAAGTAATCTACCTACTCAAATGTCTTTCTTATTCATTTTCTTTTCTTTTGATATTGTTGTCTTACCATTGATTTGGTAGACAACCCTATCTTTGGATGTAAACGGGACGGGCGCGGGTCATCGTATAACCATGATTAGCAACGTTGCAAAGTATATTAGCATTTTTGAGGGACCAAGATCATTTTGTAAGGCAACTTTGAATAGCGTCATCGAGGGACTATGATCTTATACTTGTTTCTTTTGCTAAGATACTTCGCATGCGTAATATGACCATTTTTGTATAAGGTAACCAAGTGGAGTAACCCTAAGGGTGCTCGTGTACAAGAGTGTTATTTTCATGCTTGATTTTGTCTTGGATTAGGGTTTTCTATTTGATTTGTTTTTATCTTGCCATTCAAATCCTATTTACTAGCATGTTATATAAAAAGCGATAAATTGCGTAATTTAAAGATTGCTACGCTATTACAATATTTTATGGGAGGGGGTATACAAATTATGAATGGGGATTTGCAATAATGTAAATCTAATTTAATCTATTACAACCAAATCGAATTTGTACAAGTTTGAATAAATAATATACAATAAAAAAATAAATATGCAATGGTATGTATATGCAAGAAAAAAGATTTTTGTTTTGTTTTTTTTATATGAAAAAGAGTTTTTGAACTAAACCTAATAATTTAAGAAAAGGAAATTAAATTATTTTTTTAGAAATTTGGTTAACCCTAATTTTTATTTGTTAAAAGAAAATCAAGTTCTTTAAATATTATTATTGTGTATTCTTGTCTTAAAAATAATAAAATAATATTTTATGAAATATTTTAGTCCTTTTATACATTAGAAAAAAATATTTACAAGTGTGAAAGAAAAGAAATAAAAATTAACCTAAGTCTATTTTATTTTACAAGTTTTATTTAAGAAAGAATAGTTAATATATAATTTAATAAAAATATTTTTCATGAGAAAATAAAATAAAATGAATAAAATGAAATATTTAACATTTTTATATTTTTTATGATTTTATAATATTTAAGAAAAAATATTTAATGTAGTAAACAAAAATAAAATAAATAAATGAAAATAAATTGGGCCAGGGGTGTCCTGAGTAATCAAGAGGTAGTATGTTAGAAAAAAAATGAATCCCAGTAGTTGAGCCCACGCTGCAAAAATGATAAAGAATGAAGCTGAAAAATATGAAAAATGCAAAAGGCAGCGCCCAGGTTCGAACCCACGACCTATGCAATTTCAACGTGCTGCCTTGCCACTGGGGTGGCTGTACATCTGTTAGTTCAAATGAAACAAAAAATATATAACATGAATCTCTTCCTTGCCCTGTACTTCGTCTTCTTCCTCTAGCTAGCCAGACCAATCATATCTCTCTCATTTCTCCATGAAAATGGAAACTTCAAACATAAAAATGGTAGTACTTTTTCCCGCGATTTCAAACATGTAACTCATGTAAACTATCAGTCAAAGATCAAAGCTAATTTCAATGGCCCTAATTTTAAACCTAATTTTTATAGAAATTTGAAATCTAAAATTCTCTATACACAATGAATATAAATGAAATCTATGCACATGGTTGGCTTTAGCACAATAATATCTACATTTTTCTTTCACAAATCGAGGCCCAAAGATGCCTATATGAAGAGATAAAAGTTAGGGTTCTTACCTCTTTCACCTGAGATCGTGAATGGAGTTGGAGTGAGTTTTGAGAAGGCCTGAGGATTCCTTTAGCTTGCCTAAACCTCCCTGAGTGTGTTCCAATCCTTACCTTGCTTTGAAAGTGCCTGAATCTCTCTATCTAAGTCAACCTGCAAGCTTGAAATGCAAAAATGGCAGATGGAGAAGGATGAGTTACACTTCAACGATGATGGTCTGGAACACTTAGATATGATATAGGTTAAGTGTTTAGGTGATTAGAACTTGAAACACACGAGTGGATTTTTGGATTGCTATGCTTGATGCAAAACTGCAAGTTATGGCAAGTTTTTGGTGATAAAGAGTTTGGAAGAGTTTCTGGCCTTTAGTAATCGTCTGTTAGGTTGTAATGTGTTTGTGTATAAGTATAGAGAAGGTTCTAAATCAAATCCACACCAGGTTTCTCAGTTGTAGGCTTTTTGCTATATTGCTTTCCTTTTAAGAAAAGTGAGGAGACAACTCTCTACATGCTTGTACAGGCCTGGTTTGAGTTGGTACAAGTCCTAGACACTTTGCTTTTTGTTGTGGCTTTGCTTATGTGCATAAAAACAAGTGCAAGGCTCAAGGAGTGAAAAGTTGCAAAAGTTATGCTTTATCAAAATGGAAATGACACCTTTGTGCCAAAAATGGAATTGTTCATGTACAAAGCATTGAATACTTGGCTTTAGGGAATGAAACCTTGTGAAATTCATTAATGGTGGAGTGAAAAATAATTTTGAGGCATGAAAAGTGGATATTGTACAACATGCTTGAGGATTTGAATTTTGTTCTTCATGAAATGGCTTGAAATCAAAGTGAGAAATTGCCAACTTCATCTCTTCGATTATCCCTACTAAAAAATGATCTCAAGGAGTTCTTGGACATTTTGGAAATCTTGCAATGTGATTTATAACTCATCTTTGAAATGCTTTTCAAGATTCCTCTTGGAACTAGGTTAAAAATTTCCATGAAGTTAGGTCAAAAACCTGCCTAAATTAGGGCAAAATTTCACTATTTTAGTTCATGAGCATATGTATTCACAAAATTGTATCTTGAGATCCAAGCATCTTTAAGGAAAAATGTGTGAACCAAAGTTGTATATTTCATGGAGATCTACAACTTTCATGTTGGGAACTTTCTTTGAATCATCTTGTATCACGGTGGAAATTTGGCTTAAAGTTGAGAAAAAATAAGAAATTTTCTATACTTAGAAAATTATCTAAGTTAAGAAAATTTCAAATTTCAAAACAAAATCTTCAATCTTCAATTTCTTGATGAACAAGTTTCAAATTTTGACATGTTTTGATGAATTGTGATCCTTGGCACTTGATTTTGACCAAAAAGTCAAAGTTTGACTTTTCAGTATACAATTGACTTTTTATCAGTTGATTGCAAATTCCATCTGTCAATCCAATGAAATTGCAATGTTTTGAACCATGCCATTAGGTCAAGATGATACAATTGAACCCTTGAAATCATGCTTCAAACCAATTGGTTATTTGCTAGGTCAAAAATCAGAAATTGCCCTTTCTCAATCAAAACCCTAATTTTGACTATTTTGCCCTTTTGAAGATTTGATTAAATTTCTTGAGGAATTATGGTCCAAACTTGATCAAATGATACATATGAGTCCAAAATTTTGATGTGGATAAAAAATTATGAAGTTTGACTGTAAATTGGCCATGGTTGACTTTTTCCCAAATACAGTTGATTTTTAGGTCAACTATCCAATTGACTGATCAAAAATGTGATTTCAGGCTTGAAACTTGACATGAGTAATCTTAGGGGTCCATAATGATACTTGAAAGCCATATGAAACATTGATAGTGCAAAAATCCTTGTGCAATCCCAAACCCTAATTTTGGGTCATCAGGGCATGATGAGATGTCTTGAGCTGGTCAACCCTAATCCAGTCTTGAGTCAAAGAGATCTTGTGAGAAAATCTTGATAAATGAGAGGGCAAATTTTGGGGTACAACAACGTGGCTCAATGCAAGTGTGGCACGCAAAATCCCTAACACATCTGCCCAAGCCAGCATCTATCTCTCAGTTTGCTCGACACGAGTCGAGTAGACAACCAGGAAACGTCCAAAACACCTCTCTTCCCGTAATCCGCCTCCTCCTCGGAACAAACGAATAGTCACGGGAACATCTGCTCGTTTTGATCAAGTCCTGACAGTTACCTATTTTTGCGGATCCGCATATCTAGACCCAAAAATAGGGACCAATGGCCAAGCGTCGGGGGAATTATATAAACTCTCACACATGTGAGGATCAGGTATCCAATAATCAAACCTTAAACCATAATATTCTGCTTGTATCTCTTTACATCCATTCTTACTTGATTGTCAGAGTGCCTTGCAGGTACCCTCCTTTTCTCTTCAACTTTTCAGTAAATCAGACGTCAGAAAGCCAACGAAGTTGCTCATGCTTTGGCACAAGTGACTCCATCTTATGCTAGTTTTCACAATTTCACTGATGTAACAATATGTATCCAATTACTTATTATTAATGATATAAATTAAGTATTCTCTTATAAAAAAAATTTAAGAAAAAAATAACTTTTCATAAATAGTCATATTCTCATTACCACATAAAAAGATCAGAATGTGAATTACAATGAAATTTTATACATTTTTTTAAAATATTAATTAAAATTATAAATTTTCTTAAAAATATCAAAATATTTATCAAACAACTTTTTAAAAACATTTCTTGAAATAAAATTTCCACCTTTATTTTCCTAATAAACGATTCTTGAGAATAAATTTTGACTGCACCACCACCCCACACACACCCCAAAAAAATTGAATGGTATGATAAATATATCAAATTTTATAATAAAAAAAAAAAACAATTAGGACAAAAGAATGAATACAATTTTTTTTTGTAATATAATAAAAAGGAGAAAAGAGGTAGAATTATATAAAATTCTCTCTCTCTCTCTCTCGCGAGTATTTTACCCAAGCATTGGTTGAAAGAGGTTCGATTTTGGCTCCTCTGAATGGAATGAATACCACAATCCGTTGTATCCCATTTCATTTCCAAAACCCCCAATTCTAAAAATATGGTAGCGGAGGCAGACGTTTCCGGCAAAGAAGCCGCCGCCTTGATATTCACCTACGGAACGTTAAAAAGAAACTTCTCGAACCACCCTCTTCTCCAAGACCTAATCCTGAACGGCGACGCCTCTTTCATCGGAACCTACCGCACCGTCCAAAATTACCCTCTTGTATGTGGCCCCTACCGTGTCCCCTTCCTTCTCAACATTCCTGGGTCGGGTCAATCTGTGCACGGAGAACTGTACTCCGTCTCCACGGACGGGCTTTCGAGAATGGACGAACTGGAAGGAACCTCACGCGGTCACTACGAGCGTCTCCCTATCAAGGTGGTTCCTTCCGGTGAGGAGATGGAGGCAAAGATAACATGCGCCGAGGCATATTATGCGCACGGGAGCTACGCGATGGAGATGTGGAAGAAGAATGGAAAACAAGGGTTGAAGTGTTACACGGAGAATGAAACAATTGGGTATGTTAAGCGTAAAGATAGACCTCAACATTTGACTTTCCTTGATCATATTCGATTGTTCCTTTCCGATTGATGATGCCACACAAATAGTGTTTCTTTAGGGTTCTTCTGTACCCCTATATTTATTATGTATTTCGGAATCATGTTCTTGTGTCTGAACCGCTCTATTGCGTCTTTCAATCTATTAAATGGCTAATAAAAGGTATAGAATGTTTATTGTTTGTTCATACTCACTCAAACTAACTGGCCCTTTTTCTCAACCAACTCATTTTCTTTTAAATCATTATCACATTCACATGGTGACTAGGTTAATAATTAAGCTACGCATTTTAGTATGCTTGTGGTGATAATTTCAATTCAGAATGTTGAACCTCACTTCACAATTTACAAGACTTGGTTTACGTACTAGAGATCAATCTTTTACTGCAGAACAAACACATTGGATTTCATCTGCAAACCTAGATCTAGTGCATATTTGGAATCCTATATACTACTAATCATAATTCAGACAATTTACAAGACTTGGTTTAGGTACTAGAGATCAATCTTTTACTGCAAAACAAACACATTGGATTTCATCTGCAAACTTAGATCTAGTGCATATTTGGAATCCTATATACTACTAATCATAATTCAGACAATGCAACCCATTCACTTATTTGTTGAAGAATAATTGTGCATGCCTGGGGTCACAAAATCCCTTGTAATTTCGACCTGTTTGCATTTGTCTTTGATTACAAAATATTTTCCTATCTTCCCCCATCTGGTCTGATACACCTCTGCCATTTTAAATTTGAGTATGATACCTGCAACCTTTCTATCACCCAACAATCCATATATTATGAGAATTTATCAAGTCATTGCTGTTCTGGAAATTTACTTTCACTTATGTATTTTGGCAGAATATACACTATCTCCATTCCAAATTTTCACATGACATTTCGATAAATGCACTTTGCATAATTGTAATAGTCGCGGTTATCTCAACTCGGTTTAAACAATTACTACTGCGTAAAACCTGAATCCACTTTTTTTTCAAGCTGAGGGTGCCTTTAACTTTCATACACATACTCCAACACTCACACAGGGAGACGATATGGTAAAAATATATAATAAGAGAGAATGTATCTCCTCCTGCTTTTTGCCATAAATCTAATGGTGGAAAAATAAATAAATACTATTAAGTAATAGAAAAAATTTATCATGAATCCAACAGCTGCCATTAGTGCTGTACAGAAAGAAATTCGACGCCGGAAGATAATACAAATTATTAGGGATGTTTGTGGTGCGGTTTGGACCGTTTAAAAGTAAAAAGTTATCTGAACCACAAGAAAAAAGTATGCAGAAAAAAAATCTATTGAGTCACACATATCCTTGTAGATGACAACATAACTTTATATTTAGTCATTTATGTGGTTATCAAATAACAACAAAATTTATCATATTAGAGCATCCACATCTATCATACTCATTTGGGTTCTTTAAATGAGACCCACATAATTTTTTATATTATTTCACACTTTTCAATTTTTTAAACAATCCATCTACAATTCTCAAATATCTATGTAACTCATCAAAAAATCTAAAATGGGTCCCACATTTAAAACAAATAAACTATATTCTTGCAATTTTATTTATTAATTTATTATCATGACCCACTTAATTGGAGTGCAAAAGCGTATTGTAGTATGAAGATGTGTTTGTTCTGCGTATTGTAGTATGAAGATGTGTTTGCTTTAGAACGTGAAAACAAGTGAAATATTCATTTATTATTGACACAATAAAAACAAGTGGAATAAAAAACAGTATTACTACCATAATCACGTCATTAACCGACTAAAATCAATTTTAACATGGATTTTCAAGGACATATAAGTAATTATAAACCCTAATCACTTCTTTAATTTAATTTTTTTTACTATATCATAACCATTTATTTAAGTACATCCCACTTCTCCACCTTCTGTCCTTACAAGTTTCAATACAGCTTTTCAAAACCCAACATCGGAACCCTCATTTTTTCGTCAAACGTACAAATTTGTTTTCTATCCATTCCACTTCCGTTTGCAGTCTACTTAAATTTTATAAGAGATGGCCCTGCAGTATAATACCTTTTCATCAATCTCATATCGAAACCCTAAACATCATTTTCTTTCCTCCGTAAATTATACCATTTGTGATATACATATGTTTAACAAAATCGATCTTTTGTAATCATTTTGTTTTTTTCTTTTATTAATCTATCTTTTTTTACTGAACCAGGAAAATGAGTTGGAAACGATGGTGTTATTGCAGATTTGTTCTATGGTCCTGTGCCGGTAGCCAAGGATGAAACCGATGGTGGAGGAGCATTAAACGAATCACAACAGCGACACTAGAATTGTCTTACAAAGGTATTTCCGAAGAGAGTGGGGAGACGTGACGGCGACGGTATGGCCAGAGATGGCAGATACGACTTCTCCTCTTTGATTTTTGCTTCATGTAATTTTTTTCTCATTTTTTTGGGCTAATTCTTTTATGTGATGCATCAAGGTATTTCATAAAATTGATTTGGAATTTTTTTAGATATTTTAGGTAACCAATTCTATCCACTTTTAGGTCTATTAGAGGCATTGGGAAATTGGCATGAAATTTATATCTTATTCTTTTTCTATAATTCTTGATTTTGTTCATGTTTTTCAGAGGTAGGATTTTGTGAAATAAGTTGCTATTGATGTCAAAGTTATTTGAATTTTATTTTGTCTCAATGCTTACTAGGCTCTTTTCTATCTTTTATATTTTATGATTTGAAGTTTCTCCCTCACTGTGCATAAATGTGATATCTCATATGACATGCAATTTCCCCATCTTCGCTAACTAAAAATTACATTTTGTACACGGCTGCATCTAACCAATGTTACAGTTTTAATGGAAGGTATGAAGATTATTTTTTATAAATATATGAACAAATTATGGTATTTGTGAATAAATGTTATACTCTTTTAAACTAAAATCATCTTGCTCATTCAACTTTACATATTCTTAATAAGTAAAGTTGATTCATGAAGATATAACTAAGAATTGTCCAATTTAATAAAAGAAGACGGATAAAGATAAACATAATTATTAATTTTAATTTTAAATGCTATCCTTAGATAAATATAATAGATACTGAAGTATATAACCGATAAGTTGTAAGTTGTAAGGATTAAATAAACATTTATGTCTGTTATGTGTTTTAATAATGAGATAAATTGGACAATAGGATGCTTTTGAGATTGTCAGGGATTTTTGTAAATTATGCAAATAACTATATTTAAACGACGAAGGCAAAAGTTTTACTATATTGAGATAGCCTTAAGGGTCTATTGAAAATTGGAGTGATTTAGAGGTTTTCTGTTGTTTTACAATCCAAAAATTGATATATTTTACTTTGATATCACCCTTTGATATAAAGTTGTGATTTTGCTTTTAAAGTTATGATTTTTCTTTTTTATGAATGATGATAGGGTGGAGCTTTCATCCATATTTACGATCTAATTCAGAACCATTTTGATGTTTTGTCAAAGATTGAACCTTAGGGGACAGAAAGTTCGTAGTTTCACAGTAAATGGACTAAACCACAAATTTAGAGGTGAGAATTACTTATGTTTAGCACATTGTTTTATGGCTAGCAGCGATAAAAAAGTTCTCATATTTTATATTCTTCAATCTTGATTAAAGATACAATAACTCCATACTAGCCTATTTCACTCCAAACGGACAAAAGTTATTGATGTAGTCATATCTGGTCATAGGTCGTTGACTTGGATGTTGATCTGCCATTGAAACAAACATTTCACATACTACATGAGTAGGTATCTTTACGTTGCTCACATTAGGGACTTTTTTATATATATTGAATAACTCTACTCAAAATTTGTTTGATTACTGCAGGAAACTTGCTTGCCTTTTAATTTTGATAAATAAAGGATATGTGATTTTTATATTTTCCATACATTTTGGACCTTTTTATGGAACATGAGCAGTTTTTAAGAAGTGTTTTTGCACCATGTTTATGTATTTGATACTTCAGAATTTTGTCTTTGAGATATTGGATTTACTTCATACCTAATGCATGCATGTATTGTATTTGTGTCTTTTTCTTGCTTGATAGACCGTAACAAAGTTGAATTAGATGCATGTTAGTTTAAATTTGTCTGAGATATTGGGTTTATTCAACTATAGAATGTTATGTTGATTCTTTGGAATTACTAACCGAAGCTCAAAAAGTTAATTGTAATATTTTATAACCTTTCCATATTTCTCAATTGTTTGTTGTTATTCCTAAAATTGGCAATATATGCAATTAGAATATATCTTTCATTAGGACTTATGTTTTGGTATCTCCTACAATTCCAATAGATATGTCTTGGTAAAACAGTAATATAGACTACTGTTGAAAGCATTTTTAATGTTTATGCTTCTACTACTAAAAGCATATAAATGAATATAAGTTTTATATTAGTAGTATAATTTACATTGGTGTGTCACACAATATTGTTTCAGTCTTGAATGTTGGTGGTTATTTTCCAAACAACAACAAAACTTGAGGTGTGCAAAAAATGATTTCTCAAATCTAATTCAAATGATGGATACTTAGAAGTTTGTTGTTATAGTCAATTAGGAGTAAGCCAATATTTTACAAATAACCAAATAAGAGATTTCTAGCTATAATTGTATAAGTTCTCTATACAAATATTAAGAGTCTCATTTCATTTTTCAATTAAAATTGAAACTTTACTATAGTACTAAATGAATGCACAACTCCTAAAAAGTCAATTGGATGACTTTGACTCTGCATATTTATAAATTAATTTAATTAAACAATTACTACGTGTGACAATAACTTCAACACTTATTATAGATAATTATTACGAATTTTGAATTTTTTTAATAATTATTATGATTTTTAATCTTTTTTATTTGTTTCAAGGATTTATAAAAAAAAATTGGGAATAAGTAGATGAGAATAAAAATATAAAAATTTAATTCTAGGATTTTTTTTTAAAATTGTGTTTAGGATTTAATTTGATGTTCCTTGGAAAAATGAAT